CACACACTGTTGATTGTATCCTTTGACAGACAGAAATTTAAAATGTTTGTTACATTCCCATTCATTTTGTTGTTGCTGTTGCCTGTGCTTTTGGTGTCATATCCAGGAAAGCATTGTCAAATTTAGTGTCATGAATCTTTTCCCCTATGTTTCTTCATGGCGTTTTGTAATTTTAGCTCTTACATGTTTAGGTCTTTGGTTCATTTTATTTTTGGTATGTGGCGTATGGTAAGAGTCTGACTGTTCCTTTGCATGTGTATCTCCAGCTCTCTCAACATCATTTGTTGAAGAAACTGACCTTTCCCCATTGAGTAGTCATGGCTCCCTTGTTGAGTATCATTTGATCATATATGCAGTGGTTTATCTCTGGGCTCTATTCTAGTCCACTGGTCTATATTGTGTGTTTTTATGCCAGTACAATGGGGTTTATTACTTTTTAATGAAACTATTAACAAATAAGAGAAATATATATTTGAAATTGTCTGTACTGTTTCATTGAATATGAATAATTGTTCTTAATGTTTCCATTTCTGTTTTGTTTTATTTTCCAATATTTTAGTGACCAGTCCTATGTGATTAGTTTTGTGGTTCCTAATCAGAAAAGGTTGACGCTTTTGGCACAACAGAAAGGGGTGGAAGGAAGTTGGGTTGATATCTGCAATAACCCTGCCATGGAAGCGGAAATACTGAAAGAAATTAGAGAAGCTGCAAATGCCAGTAAGTAAGAAATTGCTTGTCTGTTGAAGTCCCTAAAAGTCATTTAATGATGTCTTGTGCAGTAGGCTCTTCAAGATGTCTGTATTTGTTTTGTTTTAATAATAAAGTACAGGGTTTTAGAAACCTGCCTCTTAAATATGTACAATAAATTTCAATGTTGGAAGAATTATTAAATGTCATATAGTAAATAACCTATCTAGTTCTATATTGCATATTACAGCATCTCTGCTAAGTAGTCATGTAGCCTGTGTTTGAATGGTCAGTCTTTGTTTTGATAGTTCATAATGATGTACCCTTGTATGGATCTTTCACTGTTTATTACTGTGTAAACTTATTTGGGGTGGACCCTTTCAGTCTAGAGGTCTCTGTTCTGGGAAATAGCCTTTTATCTTTTTTTGCGTGTCTGCTCTTCTTTTATAGTTTTTCTCCTCTGAATTATATTTGTGTTTTTATCTGGGACTACTTTTATGTGGCCATTGGACCTCCTGCTTTCATCCTTTAATTTTATTATATTTTTTCTTTTGTTTTTCATCTTTTTGTTTTATATGCTGTCAGAGACTCTCAACTTAATCATCTCTTCTGTCTTTTGCATTTCCAACTTCCAATATCAGAATTTTAATTTCAAGAGCTGTTTCCTGCTTTCTCAGTGTTCTTGTAATAGCATCCTGTTGCTCTTTCATGGGGTGCAATCAATGTGTTGTCCCTTTTTCCTCTGAGGATGTTAAAGGGATTCCTTTTATGAAGTCTTCTTCTCCTGTTATTGGCTGTTTCCTCCAAGTTCCACTGTCTGCTTACTTTGGTCATGGCCTTTCATGTGCCTGTGGATCCTTATGTGTTCATTTACATTTGAGAATGAGGTACTGAAAACCCATTTGGAAATTTCACTGGGCTTCACTGAAAAGTTATCCAAATTTCCCCAATGAAGACTTCTCCAGTCTTCCCTAGGGGATATTAGCCTGACTGCCAGTGTTAAAATGGTAGTCAAATAGAGGAAATTGGAAAAGGGCTGGGGTGGGTGGGTGTTACCTTCACTGAGTCCTTCTGTTTCTAGCTTTATTTCCTCTCTGTAATGTATCCAGAGCCTTTGAGTCCAGAGTCTCTCTAGTTCAGTTTTTCCAAAAAGTAAACCTGTCCGCAGCCTGGCTGGGCAAGAACAAGGTGAAGGGGAACGGTCCTCTCCACCAGCTGGGGGCCAGCCCTCCTGTTTTCAGTGTACCGGTTACCTCTTCTCTTCAGAGGCATGGGCTCAGGAGGTCACTTTGCTTCTTGTGGGCTTCTTGTTGGCAGTTAGCTTTTAGCTCTCTTGGCTCCCAGTCAGTTACTGCCAGTCCATTTGTCTTTGGTGTTCTAACATTTTGTCAAACTCTTTCATCTAGTGTCCTCTTTCTCTGCTTTCAGTTTTTTCTTTGTGATTAATACCTTTTTAATTTTTAAAATTATTTTAAATTGTCTAAATTATTGTCCGGGGGGGAGCAGAGATAAACTCTGATCTTCATGTTTAATTGGAAGTTATTAACCTAGTTTTAAACTGTTGCTTTTCCTCCTGAAAAATAAAAGCGTCATTTTCCTGATTATAGGTTATCTTTATTCATTATGAATATTGGAGAATACAGAAAATTATAAAAGAGGAAGTAAAAATCACTTGATAGCAGTTATCTTTGGGTGGTGACATTACATTCTGGTATATACACTTTACCTATGAATATCTTGGATATTTTTCTAAGTCGGTAGATATAGAATTGCATTATCATTTTTAATAGCTAAATAGTATTTCCAGTATAAGAGGCTCCACTTAAGGATGAGTTCTACTTTTCACTAATGTAAATAAATATGACACATATCTTGTATAATCAATTATTTTCTTACATAATGATTTTCTTAGTCTGAATCCCTAAAAATGGAATTTCTGAGTCAAAGAAAATGTGTATTTTCAAAGCTTTCCCCTATGTTGCCAAATAACTCACTCTTTCCCCAGAAAAACTGGACTGGTTTATACTCCTATCAGAGATACACATGCACATCTATTCCCCTAACCAGTCTACTGTTATTTATTTTTTGAATTAACTACTTAGGTTCCATTTTTGGTTTAAAAATATGGTTTATAATATTAATAGTTAGCATGTCGAAATTGAAAAACTATTTTTCCTCAAGAAGAGCATTCTTATAGTCAATTCTGGACGCTGTAAAGTTACTTAAGTAACAATTGCCTGTTTACATAATCAGACTGAAAAGTATGTTACTTTATAACCTTAAACACAGCGACTTAATTATTTTTTCCTCAAGATGGTTTTGTTCATTATGGTATTATTGATATAGCACAATTTTTATATTCATGTTACCAGGCTGCCAGCATTTTCATTCATACAAATCCTGAATTTTTCCTTGAAATGTAGTTTTTCAAAAAGTATTTCAGCCGATAGGCTGTTATTCTTAGTCATTTTCTGAAAATACTAATGGAGTAGTATGTGACTTGAATAATTTGTAATTGCCTGTCTAATGGTGTAAAAGAAATAACAGAGAAAATCAAGCTGGATTACAATCGGGTAGAAAATGGAATAAAATTCCAGGACCCGCTAGGCCTCTATTATAAGTTTCCTGTGCTTGGAATGAGGAATAAAACTGAACAATTCATGATTTGTATAACAATACTAATCATAAGCTAAATGTATAAGCCAACCATAAGCTTTTTCTGTGCCACAGAAGATTTCTCTTGCCAACCTTTTGCTTAAAATGATAATTTCAGAGACTTATGCCAAAAAAGTATAAAATAGTCTTGATTGTATTCAGCTAAATCTATCTGAAATCATACATATTTCATAGCAGTCCTCTTCATGTTTTAAATATAAGCGCAGTATAGGTAATATCATAACGGTGAAGTATGGAATTGTTTTGGGATGATTTGACAACTACCAATGGATAGAAAAATTGATATTTCCTGCCACCTGCTGGTCATATTTGATAATCTTGGTAATTCTCATAAACTGCCACATGTAAAATCATTTTT